TAATATGAGAGTAGCATCTAGTTCCAAATTACTTGCCAAAAATTCACATAAAGATCTAGTATAAAAAATATTGAAGCTGGACATGGCGGCATCTGCCTGTAATCCCAGTGCTCTGGGAGGCTGAGGCAGGAGGATCATAAATTCAAGCCCTTCCTGGGCATCTTAATGACTTAAGGAGACCATGTCTCAAAAAAATGAGAGGGCTGGCCGGGGATGTAGCTCAGTGTGAAGACCCTGAGTTCGATCCTCAGTACGGTGGCTGGTGGTGGGAGGGGATAATGTATCAGCTAATTTGAGTCCTTCCTGTTAACATTTTTGTTTTTTTTGGTACTGGGGATCAAACTCGGGACCTTGAGCTTGCGAGGCAGGCGGCAGCACCACTGAGCTAAATCCCTGGCCAACAGTTTTATTGAGATAGTACAGTGTTCACGTCCAATTTGATTCATCTTTTTCTTGTATTTGTTTTTTTTTGTGACAGGGTCTCACTATGTAGTTCAGCTGGCCTTGAACTCACTGTGTAGCCCAGTTTGGTTTTCAACTCTTGGCAGTCCTCCTGTCTCAGGCGCGGCCCCTCCCAGGATTGTAAGTGTGAACCACCACCATGCCTGGCCCATTCATCTTTGTAAAAAGTGCAGCTTGATGCGTTTTAGTGTATTGAGCTATGTGACTGTCTCCATTCTGCCATTGTAGAAGATAGTTCTAGGTCCCTCTGCCCCTCAGTACTGAGTTTTGAACTCTGAGTTACATCACCAGCCACCCCCCTCCCCTTGGTACTGGAAATCACACTCGGCCTTGTACTTGCCAGGGAGGCGCTGTGCCACTGAGCTACATCCCTGGCAGCCAGCCCTTTGTTAATTATTTAATTTTGATACATGGTCCCATTAAGTTGCCCAGGCTGGGCTTGAATGTGTTTCTTTTCTTTTTTTTTTTTTTTTGGTGATCGAACTTGGGACCTTGTGCTTGCGAGGCAGGCAGTGGAACCACTGAGCTAAATGCCGGGTGTGAACATGTGATATTCCTTCCTTGGCCTCCCAGAGCGCTGGGACGGTTTTGTCCTGTAATCACTCTTGTGACAAACATCCTGTCCCATGTATTAGATCTTTTAAAAATAATTTGACAGGTCATATTACAAGGCTGATCAAGAAATATAGTGTGTTTATTTTTTTATTTTTTTTGGTACTGGGGATCGAACTCGGGTTCTTGCGGTTGTGAGGCAGGTGGTGGAACCACTGAGTTAAATCCCTGGCTGGTGTGTGTTTAAATAAATAAAATTATACTAAAAGACACATTGCTGTTAAGCCCCCACCCCACCCTAGATGCCCCTTTACTTCGAACACACTTGTCTGGTTATTGCCACGTATCTGCCCCCCCCCCATACTGGGGATTGAACTCAGGACCTTGGGGTTTTGAGGTGGGTTCAGTGCCAATGAGCTAAATCCCCAGCCCTACTTTTTTTTTTTAAGTTTTTTGAGACAGGGTCTTCCTATATAGTTCAGCCTTGAACTTGTGGTGGTGATCTTTCTGCCTCAGGCTCTCAAGTGTTGTGGGATCATAGAGTACATCACCATGCCCAACTTGGTGCCACTTTTTGAAGCAGTTCTGGAAGTCTTCTTTCATGAATGTCTTTATTGCACTGTTGTGGCTGCCTTGATGTCTTGAACTGATTAAAAACATTTATCTTGGGGCTGGGGATTTGGCTCAGCGGTTCCGCCACCTGCTGCGCAAATGCAGGGACCCAAGTTTGATCCCCGGTACCAAAAAAAAAAAACCACATTTATCTTTTGGGCCAGGGATTTAGCTCCTGAGTTTGATCCCCAATACCAAAAAACGAAACAAAACCAAACCAAAATATTTATCTTTCATAGTAATTTTGACTTTGAGGAAGAGCTAAATGTTACGCGGTGCTAGATCTGGTGAGTAAGGTAGATGAGGACACACTGTAATGTGTTTATTTAATAGAAATTACCAAAAATGTTTTTAATCCATTTGGGACCTTGAGACAGCCATGACAGCATAACAGACACTCACGAAGGAGGACTTTCAGCACTGCTTCAGAAAGTGGCAAGAATGATGGGATTAGTGGGGTTTTGTGTGTGTGTGTGTGTGTGTGTGTGTCTACTGGGAATTGTACTCAGGGCCTCGAGCTTGCCAGGCAGGCACTGTTGTTTCTGAGCTACATCCCAGGCCCTTGTTTTGTGTTTGTTTTGTTTTTGGTACTGGGGATTGAATTCAGGACCTAGTGCTTGCCAGGGAGGCGCTGTGGCGCTGAGCTACATCCCTGGTCACCCCCCCACCACCACCTTTTTGAGGCAGGGTCTTGGTATGTAACCCAGGCTGGCCTCAAACTCCTGCCTCAGCCTCCCAAGTGCTGGGATTATAGGTGTGCATCACCACACCCTGTGGGATAAGTGTTTTTGAAGCAAGAAGGATATTTTGAAGGGGATTAATGGCAATATGTGTTTTCCTACGATAAAGTTTTTAAAAATTTTTAGACATTAACCATGTTTAGATCATATTTCATATGTCTGTTGTAGAAAACTTGTATAAAACATGAATAAAGCAAAAAGATAAGTAATAATCACTTACTACCTTTTTCTTGTGTGCATGGTGCTCTGGGAATTGAACCCTGGGATGCTCTACCACTGAGCTACATCCCCAGCCCTTTCTTATTTATTTTTAATTTTGAAACAGGATTTTGCTAAGTTGTTCAGGCCAGACTGAAACTTGTGATCCTCCTGTCTCAGCTTCCCCAGTGCTGGGATTACAGGTGTGTGCACCTGTATCTGGCCTGCCTGTTACGTTTTTTTTTTTTAGTGCATATTATACACAACAATAGATTTTTTTTAATTTTTAAAGATTTTTATTGGTGCATGTTTGCAGTAATACTTATTACCGCTTAGCCCAGAGTCTTTAGTTTGTAGCATTTGTTCCTCTGAAGTTATGGAAGTTTAAAACTACACAAAGACTTTGGAGCCTCCAGGATGTGGTTCCTTGGACTGAGAGTGCTATGGAGAAAATAAAACAGGTAGGAGAGGGGGAAGGTTTCTCAGCAAGCAGATTGGGGATGGAAATCACAGATTTAAAAGGAGTAGTCAGAAAAAGTATTGCTGGCAAGGGATGCGAGGTGGAGAATTAAGGCAGAGCCTGTGGGGAACAACTTCGTTGTCAAGAACAACTCTACATAATTTTGGGGAAAAATCATTTGATTAGGCCTAGTTCTCCTGCCTACAGGCCAGCTATGGGATTTTGAAACATGGCTTCCGTTTTGGCCTCTAGTCACAGTGGGACTTCAATGGTCCAGTGATGCTGTGATGCTCCAGAACAAGATTGTACCTGCTGAAGACATCCTGGGAGGAACAAAATCTTCATCTGCATAGTTCCTAGTTGTTCTAGTATTTTTGCTATCTCCAGTCATTTGTTACATTTGTTTCTCCGGATGTACTGAACTGTCTGTCCTGAGTCATTTGTTACATTTGTTTCTCCTGTGTTTCTGAACTCTCTGTCCTGAGTCATTTGTTGCATTTTTGTCTCTGATGTACTGAATAAAAGGTGGCAGGTTTGGGGGCTTTTGTCTTTGTTCCCCAGAGCAGCATTGATCAGGCCGAAAGCTCAGCTTCTTCTCAAGGTCTCATTTTTTTCTACCCTTTTTGTATAGTAGGTCAATTTGCCTTGTGCTGTTGTGGCTCGCAGGAGACTAGGACTTACTGCAGAGGTTCTAGTAATGTCCCCTTTCCCTGTTCCTTCCCTATACTTAATAAGCAGAGGAAGCAGCAAGTATAAAGCTCTAGGGCCAGGGATTTAGCTCAGTGGTTCTGCTGCTTGCCTCAAAAGCGCAAGGTCCTGAGTTCGATCCCCACTACCAGAAAAAAAAAAAAAGTTTCAAGTGAGGTTGGCAGGATCTGCACTGTATAGGCCTCCCCAAACCATTGTGCACTGAAAGATCAGGCTTTTGAAAAGTGATTGGATCATTAGATGCTATAGCTAACTTGCTGTGAGGAGGCGAGGCCTGGAAGGGTATACTGTATCTCCCTTCTGGCTCCTTCTTCACGCTCTGCTTCTTGAATGTCGTGAGGTGAGAGCAGCTTTCTTCTGCCCAGGCCTTTCCACCATGCATTAGGGCCAGCTCACTGTGGACTGAAACCTCTATAAACTGAGCCAAAATAAAGCTTTTCTCCTTTAAGTTATGGGTGTTGGACATTGTGTCTCAACAGTGAGGAAGGTTACCGAGTGTAATAACACATACAAACTAAAAGGATAATTCTAGGATTTCAGGGCTGTTCTAATGAGAGGTTGCTGCCATATTGCTATATCCAATGGTCCATTCCCATACTTCATCTTACTTCAGCTGCCCAGCAGCATGGACCTAGATGATCACTCTCCCTTGGAAACAGGATCTCAGCTTGATCACATCTACAGAGGCCCTATTTCTGTCCAGGTGTGGTGATGCACACCTGCGATCCTAGCGTTCTGAGACACCGAGGTAGGAGGATTATAAGTTTGAGTCTGGCCCGGGCAGCTTATCGAATTAGCAAGACACTGTCTCAAGATTTAAAACTTAAGAAAGGGCCAGGGATGTAGCACAGTGATAGAGTGCTTGCTAGCAAGTGTGAGGCCCTGGGTTCAGTCATCAGCAGTGGGAAAAAACCAAACCAAATCCATATATCCAAATAAGGTCACATGCACAGATATGGGAGTAGGACTTTGATTTGTCTTCCTGGGGGACAGAACCCAGCCAACTACAGAAGAAAATGACGTTGGAATTGAGAACTGGCTGTCTGTGAACAGGAGAGGCCAGGGTGTTTAGGCTGGTGGTATGCAAAGGCTAGGGGGCTGCCATGGAAGGGCCGAAGCCAGGATGGCTGGAGCAGAGTCAGGCACAGCCCACAGGCCTAGCCCATGCTACTTTCTCTCAGAATGGAGCCTTTTTAAGGGACTGGGTTCTTGGCCATCACATGTTCCTAAGCCTCATAATTTACAACTGTGTTTCCTTTCTTAAACAGGAAACTACTTTGCTTCACACTTTTTCATGGGAGGTGAGAAATTTGATACCCCCCACCCTGAAGGTTACCTCTTTGGAGAGAACATGGATCTGAACTTCCTGGGCAGTCGCCCTGTCCAGGTGGGTCTCCGTGGGGCTGGCTGGTGGCTTCGGGGTTGGGAGGCCCTGCTGGTGTCCAGTTATGAGGATGTGCAAGCAGTGAGTCACCACCCCCAAAAGGGCAGAGCTCCTGGCAGGACTGCAACTGAGCAAAGCTGGACATGGGCACATGAGTTGGAGTGGGTCATTGAAAGACAGAGCAGCCATCAATGAACTGGTGCGACCATGCTGCAGAAAGACGTATTGATTCCAGGCCTCTTGGATAACTTTCTTTAAAAAGCAGAAAGAACGTCCCCATCCTATAAAATAGTGGGCATGAGAGGTGACCTATACGAGAAATGAAAATGACTGGTAGATGTTTTTCACTAGTTGCCAGAAGTGGATGTGCAAGCATAGATATCTGTTCATTCCATACACACTTGTCACTTCCTGTGACTCTTTGGGGCTGGCGGCAGAAGTCAGACCTTGCCCCTGTTTCTGTGTGTGTGTGTGTGTGTGTGTGTGTGTGTGTGTGTGTGTTGCAGACCGTAAAGAGGAAAACATTGAATGGATGGTTAGTACGGTTGTGGCTGAGCTGAGCTGTGGTAGGATGGGGAGGAGCCTCTAGGATGAGCAGGAAATCAGTAGGGCTGGAGCAGCCTGTGCCAGGCTTCAAGAGGCCATGAATCTGAAGGTAAACAGGGGTTTCCAGGCTGGCTTGAGAACAGAGCTAGAAGTAAGGGTGCAGGCCCCTGTGGGCGAAGTGGTGGGGTATGGATCTTTCCCTGTCCACCAGCAGCAGTGAGAGCTTGTCCCACCACCAGGAGCAGAGCCTGAGACCCGACCTCGGCCACTTCCCTCAGGGATCTCTCTGGTCTGGATGTGTTGCTGAAGGTTCTTTCTGCAATTGGGGATGGTGGCTCAGTGGCCAGATCACTTGGGATGGCCCCAGTCCCAGCCTATGTGCTTGCTGCATGAACATAGTTTCTTTCAGTGCAAATGAGAGTAATGCAAATCGCACACCTAGTGTCCAACACAGCCCCTCATGTGGAGATCGAGAATGCCTGTCCTTAGGGGCCTGGGACCACTGTGATTCCTGTTTCCTCTCCTCTCCTAGTCCCCAGGGACTCACATGGGATCACTGTGGGTTTTTCCCTTCCAGTTTCCCTATGTCACTCCTGCCCCCCATGAGCCTGTGAAGACTCTGAGAAGCCTGGTGAATATCCGTAAAGACTCCCTCCGACTTGTAAGGTAACTCTTTGTCCTGTCTTGCTGGGGTCTCCAGACTGTGGTCTGGAGTGCCTGAGGCCCTGTAGGGGGTAGAGGCTCCAGTGTGATGCTTGGGAAGTGGAGGGAGTATTGAGTGGACTCAGTCTCTGCTTTCTTGTGTGGCATCTGAGGCCATAAACAGGAACTTGATCCTTTAAGCCAGGGGTTCTCACCTGGGTGATTGTGCCTCAGAGACACTGGGCAATGTCTGGAGACAACTGGCCGAGGTCAGGGAGGCTGCTCAACTTTCTGCAAGCCCAGGAGACCTCATAGCCAGGAATGATCTAAGCCCCAGATGTCAGTAGGTTGAGAAACTGCTTTAAAACTGTATGACTCAAGGCATCTGGGCTACCTTTAAGCCAAGAGGAAGAAGGGGAAGCAGACCTGGATCGTTGGCTTTATGTCCAAACAGGGAGTGGGCCTCTACATTTGCTAGAAGAAATGTGTCCAAGCAGGTGAGTCTAAGGCCTGTGGCCATGCATGTGGGCTTGCTGTTATGCCATGGCCTCTGACTTTTGCCTCCTCTGTACCCTTGGGTAGGTACAAAGATGATGCTGACAGCCCCATTGAGGGCAGCGAGAAACCCCGGGTACTCTACAGCCTGGAATTCACCTTTGACGCTGATGCCCGCGTGGCCATCACCATCTACTGCCAGGCAGTGGAGGAATTCCTGAATGGCATGGCAGTGTGAGTCCCTGGCACAACTTGACAACTCAGGCACTGGGGCTCAGGCCCCATTTGTGAGATTTCCATCTTTCTTTTTTTTAAGATATGGTCTCCCTGTGTAGTTTAGCCCTCCTTGAACTTGCAGAACCCAGGCTGGGTTTGAATTTGTGAACCTTCTGCCTCAGGCTCCTTAGTGCTGGGATTATAGATGTATACCACCATAACCTGGCCCATCTGTATTATTAAACATAAGAAAAATTTCTTTGTTTCTTCTCTGCTCTTAACTTTTCTCTTTTCTTCTCTACTCTTCTCCTTTCCTTCCCTTCCCTTCCTTCCTTCCTTCCTTCCTTCCTTCCTTCCT